AAATGTCAGCTTTCCTGCTCCTCTGATGCTGCTTGGCCTGCTGTGTTCATCCAGCTCTACACTGTGTTATCCCACTACCCATGTTTCTACTGAGGTGCTTTGAAAGAACCTCTCAGCTCCTGGTCTCATTTCACAGTGATACTACTGGAGTCAGTGCTGGTCCAGCTACCAGTGGGAAGAGGAACCTCCACCAGTATAACATCTCTGACACAGACTCAAAAGGAAGTGTGCTTGTGAAAGGCACAGCACTTGATGAATGAGTAATATGCTGTCCTTTTTTACAGTTTCTCCTCTTCCTGGAGCAAAACAACTCAAAATCTCGATTAGAAAACCCACTAACACCAATAAAGAGTAAACTAATTGGAAGTCTGAGTAACCACAAAAATAAAAATATGAAAAATACAAGAAATGCCTTAAAGTCTTGATAGACTTATAATAGAAATTGCTGGACTCTTTAAAGACTCTATGGTCTGCAGCTCCACCTGAAACTCCTTCCTGCCATATTTCTGTAGGCATCCTAAATACTTGTGCCCAAGACCCTGAAAATAATGCGGCACCTTTCTTTGCGCTCTTTATATAGGCTAGTAAAGGCTTTCACATGCTTCAAATGGGAGATCTGTGCTGGCAACATTCCCCACTAAAATCTTCAAGCACAATTCTGCAATTATTTTTCTGTTGCTCTGCTGCTGTAGGATCAGTCCCCAGACATATATATTATTGGATATATATCTTCCACAGTCCAGAGGAAATACTGACAGAATATTATTTCTGATCTCTATCATCCTGAACTTTGTGTATTTTGTGTTCATCATTGAAAAATAAATATTAGCAAATCAAATTGACAACCAGCTTTGTGACTATGCAGGTTGACAATCAAAGTATAAGCAGTGCTACGGAAAGCCCTTTTAAATCTAAACAATATTCTTGTGTTATGGATTTGTTACATGTGTACTAAGTCTACAGTGTTATGCACAATATAAATCTGCACAGTCTTCCATTTCACTGGAATGGCTTCGAATGAAAAAGCAATGCATATGTTTTGATGATGATTAATTGGCCTCTTTGTTCAAGTCTTATTACTGGGCTATTCAGAAGCAAGCTGGATTCAATACAAAAGTTGAGTCCTTGATTGATTTTAAAAAATGACCTCTTTTACCATCACAGTAAGCCTCCCAATTCTATGTTGAAGTCTATCTATAATGATAGGTGACCTTTCATCTTTTCCACAGTTATAGTTAGGAAGGTGTTGACCTTTCAGATCAAAGGTGGTGCTCCTATGGTTTGGCTGATTTAGGTCAATTTCTTAAATTACTGCAACCTGAAATTATTTGCTTTGAAAGCTATCCATTCAAGTATTAGCAGCTTATTTTTTTTGTTGTTGCAAATTATAAGGATCATGCCATGTCAGCATTTTGAAATAGCTGTTAGCACACATCAGTTCCTTGCACGACAGTATGAAAGGCATTACAGTCTCAAATGTAGTTTTTATTCATTCATTTAAATACATTAGAAAAATAATCAAGCCTAGTATGATACTTACAGGTCACAAGAGGCTTTTGGTTGCAACTAAGATGGAAAAGCTTTCTTTGTTTTATTTGATATTCTCAGGAATTTTGAGTTAATAACTTTATAGTTATGAATGTTATAATTATGTAACCCATATACCCTAATGACAGTGCACTAATCTCATACTAGTTTGTTGAAAGAGATGATATTCCCTTCCTACCACATTTGTGGGGAGTTGTAACAATGTTCAGCCATTAGCCTATATGAAGTATCATCCAAAAAATGTGGAAAGAACTAACTTTTGAGATGAGCATTAGAAAGGAACATCAGCTTCAAATGACATTCTGTTCCAAAGCCAAGGCTGATGAGTTTACGGTCACAGGTCAGAACAATTATCAACCATTGCAGGGATCATGTGGAATTGGTGTTGGCAGCTCACTAACATGACTCTGGTATGTGATCAGTGCTGTCTGTACTATTCATCAGTTGTGTGTATGCTTGAGGATGGGGAAGGGCCAAGAATTCAAGCTTAACTGATGCCTTAAATTAAGACAGCACATTTTAAAGAGAAGGCACACTCTTGTTGCACTTCACAATTTCAGAAGAGGAAAAATGTCTGCAAAAGGCCCAGAGAGGCTGTTCAGGTTCAGTGATACAGCATTGAAAGCTTTCATTCGATGATGGTTTGAATAAGGGATACCTTGTTCACTCCAGAAGGCAGAAAATCTTCCTGGCAGCATTTTTACCACTAGTATTTGGAGGTTAGGACCAATAGCTTTGTTTCCTGTACGTTACTGCAATGTAGAAATAAGTTAAATGAGATAGCAGTGTTGTTAAAGTAAGAATACTTCCCTCTCTGCTCACACCAGTATTTAACTGTGGTCACTACTCAAAGCACTTCTCTCCCCCTCTTCCATTTACTCTCTTACAATCATCTCACATCACCCTATCTCCTTGTTCCACTCAGATTCTGCACATACTACTCTCACCACTGTTAGAATGATCTCTTCCTCACATCATACAACCACATTATTCAGTCATGGCAGACCAATTTCTTTAATCAGGACTGTCAATAATACAGTTCAGTTTTTTGGGGTGAAGATGATATGTGCAAACATGTGTTTAAGAAATTGTGAGGAAACTGAGTCCACTTGCATCCTCTCGCCTGTGCAAGACAATGTGCATGGACAATAAGAGAGTCAGAGTGGTGAAAAGTGACAATGCTAGAAGAGTTGTCATTGAAGGATTCTTCGTACCTTGCTATCTTTTTCCACTCTTACTTCTGTTTCTTCCTGAACACACTGCATGATAAATGCTATTCACTTCCTTCAACTTCACATCTCACTTTGTTTCCCTCATTATGCTAAAAGCTTAACCCTATATCGCTCCATTTCATTTCAAGTTCTGACAATGTTGTAACGCCTCTGCCATTTCAGGGAGAAGAGGCCAGTTATTTGAAGATGTAGTGTCAGTCAATCAGATGACAGAAAGCATTGCTTGTACTTTAGAAGGTTGGCTAGAGATGAGGCTTCTTCATGTACTAAATTACTGACCACTCATGTACTGGAACAGGATACCATTTGTCCTGTCTTGCTAGTGGGCAAAACCACAAAAGAGCTTTTATGCAAGATGACAAATGTGACTACATGGAAATACCAGGTGCACATGGCAGTCTGCAACCAACTTACATGCAATGGTTGGAAATTTTGTCTGTTCTTGGCTACATATGAAGCTGAGCAGAAATTCGGGAGGGATGTCCACTGGAGGGTGGGGCAGACTTTTCCACACATACATACACATGTGTGGAGTAAATGCCATATATGGGTGTATGGCAGGAAGCATTGCCCCTCTCCAAAACCAAATTTAAAATTTAAAAGGCACCTGCACAGCAGTTCACTCTCTGTAACTTAGAAGCATCACTCAGCCTCTAGTCATCATTCTCATCCCACCCTGGAAATGTTAGAGACCAGGCAAAAAGAAGCATTATGCTTTTCAGTGCTTCCATTGAGGTTCTCCTGAGGACTGTCCAGGAGAGCAGGGCAGGTTTTCTTTCCTCTCCAAGGTAAAAATAAGCCATCCCATTTGACAAAGGGTAACCTGGAAAGTGGTGATGCTACACGTCAGCCCCCATGGGCGGCTGGAGACAAACTGGCCCCAGTGCTGAAGAAGAGGAATGATCTGCTACACCAGAGTATGTTTCACTCTTGAGTAAGCATCATAAAGTTTCCACTGCAGAGGACTGACACACAACAGTTTGGGTAACAGGCCTGCATTTCAGGTACCTCAGAAGTGATCAATGTCTGTAACTTCACTGCATTTACCTTTCTAACTTTATAGGTAAATACCCACATTGCTTAAATCCTTCTGGTAATTCTCCTCAGCACCTGCTCAAGAGTATTCAAATCCACTGGAAAGTGTGGTTTCAGAACTGAGCATAAAATTCCAGCTTTTATTTTTGATCCAAAGTAAATCAAGAATGTAACAGGATAATAATGTAGACTTGAGTTAGGAGATAAGCTTGATCTGTTTGAATACCAGAGCATACTGACAGGGCTTTTTGGCCTTCTTTTAGAGAATACTTTAGGACTATTTTGTCAGCTCTTCCTAGTATGAGCTTAAAGGAGGCAGATTCTGCATCATGAGTGATCTACCACAGCAGACTACTATCCATGTAATGAAGACAAAAGTTGCCCTTGGACCTTTTTGAATTGTGTATACAGTTACTATGAATATAACGCTTTGTGTATTGTACATTTTATGCAAGGCCACAGAGACCTAATTTCTCCTGAGAACTATAGAGAAATGTTACTCTGAAAAATAAATGCACTCAAAAAGATTTCAGTATGGCTGTTTGATCATATAGAATAAATTACCTTTGAGATGGAATTGCTTTTAAGTGGAGTGCACTTTTTGTGACCAGATCGCGTTCTAACTCCGTGAAACCTTAGAAATTGTCATTTATGGAACTATCATCGTGTGATGCTTTTATTTCTTTCACTGTCTTCTAGAATCTCACAATTGAAACAGAACTGGAGGCTGCCAATGGAAAAAAGGTCAAGGCTATCGAAATCTTTGCCTGTGCTCTAATGTTCTTTAAAGACCATGCATTACAGGTGTGTTAGAAACAACAAAGAACTTATATAAATAAGATCTCCTTCATAATGTTACGTTCATTAGATAGATTTGCTGGAAAGTTGAAAATCATATTTATTTTAAACTTGTGCTGCTGAGTATTTTACTTTACGAAGTATTGTGACTGGGCTGTTCTGTATTATAATATCATTTGGTATTGCCAGATGATCAAAACAGTTCTAAAACTTGATACTGCTGATCAAAAGAATCAGTGGCATTTCTACGGGATGCATCTATTAGTGTACAAGCCACCATAGAAATGTGAAACTGTTATTGTTGCCTATTTTTGGATCCATTTCCTTTGCTAAATGATTGTGCAAAGGCTAATTACAGACTAAGAAAATCAACAGTACTTTAAAACTGCTTTGGAATTCTAAGAAATTTGATAGCTGTTGTCAACAAAGAAGTTTTCTTTCAAACATCTGCTGTAATCTTCAGTTGTGAAAAGATGTCGGAACTCATTTTGGTAAGGTAATTCTTGTCAGTAAGGGTGTAATTCAGAGCAGTCAAATTGATCTTCACAAAATGCTATTCCTTTACATTTTTAACCTTATAAATCTCTGTCCCAGTAATCACCCTCTGCACAGCCAAAAGAAATGGATCCAAAACTAGACGACAATAACTATGTCTCAAATCTCTAGAGCTTCTTTTATGTTAATATACATATATATCTAGACTTTGCTTTGCTGATAATTAGTAACTAGTAATAGTGTCAACATTCTATGGCCCCTCACAACTGAATGTATTTTTTTCAATCAAGTTTGATGTGTGCAAGCTGTAAATACATGGAAATCATGTTGTAACTACATGTTGTAGCCAGGATGTTGCTGTAGAATTCTCAAAGAAGAAACCAGGAAGCTGTCACCTACATCATTCTATTTTTAGGAGCTGAGTGACCAGGGTGGCTCACAATTTGGAAACCCGGATATTAGATGGGTCATTACTGTACCAGCTATATGGAAGCAACCTGCAAAACAGTTCATGAGGCAGGCAGCCTACAAGGTATGTTTTATGCACTGAGAGGAGTTGACTGTGCTTCTTAATCCAGTGGCAAATTAAACCTATAGATTGAATGGATAAAATTTATCAACAGTCCCACATGTAAGAAGTTAGAGTGCTCAGACAACCTGCAGCATTCTGTCTAAGGCATACAAAGCAGCAGAAACTTGTGATAGGCCTGAGGATTGGAATTTATTTAGAATCAGCTGCAGACGATTAAAATGTTGAGAAAGAGAGAAAATTGATTATGAAAATAAATTGGCATGAAATATAAAAGCAAATAATCAAGAGCTTTTGCTGGTTTATAAGGATAAAAAGAAAGTAGTTAAGGTAAGGTTGGGACCCATGACTGATGTAACTGGGGAATTAATGATGGGGCAGCGAGGAAATTATACATAATTTAAACCAATCTTTTGCATCAGTCTTCATGGTGGAGGACACTATAAACATCTCATAGATAACGAATAAGCAAGATATGAATGGGAGGGAAGATCTTGTAACAGTCTGTATCATGAGGAGCAAAGTATTTGACAAACTAAGGGAACTAAAGGCAGACAAGCAGCCTGGAACTGATGACCGACCTCCAAGGGTTTTGAAGTACATAGCTGCAGAGATAGTGGAGGCATTCATCGAAATATTCCAGAACTAACTGGATTCCAAGAGTGTTCCAATAGATTGGAAAACTGTTAATGAGCACCCCTGTTCAAGAAGGGAGGGAAACAGAAAGCAGGAAGCTATCGGCCCTTGAGTCTGACATCTGTCATTGGGAAAATGCTAACGTGTATTGTTAAGGAAGAAGTAACAGGACATTTAGAAATACTCCCATAATCAAGCAGCATCAACCTGGTTTTGTGAAAGGAAATAGCGTTTGACAAATTTACTGAGGTTCTTTGGGGAATCATGAGCAAAGTAGATAAAGTGGATCCAGAAAGCCTGGTGTATTTGGATGTCAAAAAGGCATTCCTTAAGGTCCCATACAGAGCATTGTTGCACAAGATAGGGGCTTATGGTATTGGGGGTAGTATATTAGTATGATTAGAGGGTTTACTAACTATTAGAAGACAGAGTTGCGAGAAGGCATCATATTCAAGGCAACAATCCGTAACTAGTAGAGTGCCACAGACAGCAGTATTGGGATCAATTATTTGCACTGTATATTAATGACTTGGATGAGGAAGTAAACATATTGTAGCCAAGTTTGCGGATGAAACCAAAACAAGTGAGAAGGCAATTGGTGAGGCAGAAAGAGTCTGCAAAGCAATGTAGACAGGTTAAGTGAGTGGGCAAATACTTGACAAATGGGCAGAAACAGTAGTGGAGCTGAATATTATTTTAAAGAAATAAGACTGCAGAAAGGTACTTTGGGAATTCTCATGCATGAATCACAAAAAGCTAGCATTCAAGTTCAGTGGGTAATAGGGAAGATAAATAGAATGTTGGCCATTATTTCAAAGGGAATCAAGTACAACAGTAGCAAGTTTTGCTAAAACTACACAAGGGACTAATCAGGCCACAGCTGAAATACTGTGAACAGTTTTGGGCCCCTGATCTAAGCAAAAACATCCTGGCATTGGAGGCAGTCCAGGATTGGTTCACTGAGGAGAGGTTGTGTAGATTTTGTCTGTACTCACTGGAATTTAAAAGAATAAGACGTGATCTTGTTGAAATATACAACATTGTTAGGGGACTTGACAGGGTAGATGCAGAGAGGTTGTTTCCCTTTGTGGGAGAGTCCAAGACCGGGGGAATAATCTCAGAATAAGGGGTTGCACATTTAAGACAGAATGGGAAGAAATTTTCCTCTTACAGCGTAACAAATCTATTGACTACTGCAGAGGGCTGTTGAGGCTGAGTTGTTATGTATATTTAAGGCCAAGACAGACATTTCTAATCAATAAGGGAATAAAGGGTTCTGGGGAAAAAGCAGAAAAGTAGAATTGAGGATTAGTAAATTAGCTATGATCTCATTGAATGATGGAGCAGACTCGATGGGCTGAAAAGCCTTCTTCTGCCGCTATGTCTTATAGTCATATCTTTTGGTCTGAGATTGGACCATTATTCATTAGAGGTAAGGAGAATGAGAGATAATCTTATTGAAATATACAGGATGCTGCAGGGGACTAGGCAGGGTAGATATTGAAAAGATATTTCCACTAGTGGGGGACACAAACTAGGGGACATGGTTGTAGAACAAAAGAACACTCATTTAGTACTGAGATGCAAAGGAATTTCTTCTCTCAGAGAGTAGTGAATGACTGGAATTCTCTATCCAGGGAATTATGAAGGTTAGATCACTGAAAGTATTTAAAGAGGAACTGGTTGATTTTTGAAATAAAAGGGAGTTGAGATCTATGAGGAACTGACATGAAAGAGTAGTTGAGGCCTGGGGCAGATCAGCCATGATCTTATAAAATAGTGGGGCAGGCTTGAGGGGCTGATTGGTCTACTCCTCCTCTTATTTCAGAATTTCTTATAAGGTGCATTTGTTACATGACCCAGTGTGCCTGAAAAAGAAGGTTATTGTGATTCTATAGCATCAATTAATATTTAAAGTTTATATCTTCTTTACAAATTCTATTACAGAAATAACCGTGGTGACATTAATTATATGGGCACTGAAATATTGCAAGCCAAAGGCTCCATTTAATGTACCAGAGCACTTGCATGTTGATGCATATGCAGCATGCAGGTGAAAAATTTGCAGAACCATATATTTCTAAAATTAACAGGTTTTCTTTGTTTATTGACATATTTGGTCAAATCTCATTCATGGTTTGATGAATGAATAATTAGTTTAATGTATTAGTATTGACAGTAAACGCTAGCAAGAAGACACTTGGAAAAAGGAATGCAACAAATGGAGAAAGCAAACACAGTAAAGTGCTAAGCCTATTTTCTTTTCCTCTCTGCTTTATTTTGTATCTTTTGTTGTCAATCACAGATAATTTTCTTTTATGAATGAATGCACCAAAGCCATCAATGATTCTATGTTGTGTCTCAGACTTGGAAATGGTAGCATTGTGGTGATAGATTAGCAAGGGCTTGGATGCCTGGAAATATTTCTAGCATTTGTATTATAATGAGGAAACATTCTTTGCCTTTCAAAGATATGCCAGACAGGTTTGCTGTATGTTACCTGAAAATACAGAAAATTAATCTTAGTTACTTTGAAATCAAAAGACTTCCAAGTGATAACTTGAGTTGCAAATTTTGCGTAGCTAGTTCTAAGCCAAAATTTTCAAAGGCTTACAGAGTAGAGACCAATTTCTCTGATTTCGCCAGTGAAATAAATTTAAATATTCAAATTTATGAAATAACATATTTTCAGTGACACTTAAGAATATTAATGTAATGCTAAATGGCAACTTACAGTAAGAATACAGGCTAAATTTTCAGGGCAATGACTATTTTTAAAACGTTCCATCAAATGATTAAACACATTTTGAAACTATTGAAATTCTGTCATTTATTTGTTGACATTGAAATTTCATACACACCCATCTTGAATATCATTACAAGAATTAAGTTGCTTAGGCTATTTATTTACATCGGTTGTTTGCATAACTTCCTTGCAAAGATTTGTATGATGTTGATCATTGTTGCAAAGTATTCCTGCCCCATTGACTTTCATTTGCCTGAATGTTTGATCTATAGTTGATTGAATGAAAGACCAATCCTCAGTATCCTTAATACACATATAGGAACTGGTTGTTAATTATAATTGAAATAGGTTTGAATTTCAGAAATAATTTAAAGGAACCACAAAATGCGAAACAACCTTTATTGACAATGTTCCAAAGGCAGTTTTTTAAAATTTATATTTGAAATATGGGCATCACGGGCCAGCCAAGTATTTAGTTCCCATCTCTAATTTAGAGTTAGAGTTAACCACTTTGCTGTGTGTCTGGAGTCACACATTGGCTAGATCAGGGAAGGATGGCATATTTCATTCCTTAATATACACTAGTGAACCAGGTGGGTTTTTATGACAATTGACAGTTATTACATGATTGCCATTAGACTGGCTTTTCTTCCCCCATATTTCTCATAATTTCAAATTGCTCCATCCACCATAGTGGGATTTGAACCCCTGTAATCTGAACATTAGTCTGGTGTTCCTGATGGCTCTGGATTACACCTGTACACCTCTCCCTTCCCCCCCAAATTGAATATTATAAGTTTGTTATTAAAGTATTATGGTAAAATGGTTAGTTTTATCAATCTAACAGGGAGGCAGTGGTGTACCGGCAATATCACTAGACTCCTAGTCCAGAACCTCAGGTCCTGAGGACAAGAGTTCAAAGCCCACCATAGCAGATAGGGAACTTGGAATTCAATAATCCAAAATAGTCAGGAATGATGACCTGGTCTCAAAGTGACAACATAACTGCTGTTGATTATTATAAAAATCCAAATGGCTGACTAACCTCCTTTAGGAGAGGAAATAAATGCCATCCCTGGTAGGTCTGGCCTACATGTGACTCCAAGCCCACAGCAATGTGATAGGCTTTTAACTACTCTTTGGTAGTTAGGGAAGGGCAATAAATGCTGACCTAGCCAGTGATGCCCACATTACATGAACAAATAAAAAATTTGTGTCCTGTCTAAAAGGGTAAGTTTTAAGATCAGTAATGTTAAATAGTCAGAATTGACAGTTATATTTTCAATATAGTTACAAAATTCAAATTAGTGCGCCAAAAGGAGTAATATCTTCAAACAAGTAATTGTGGAACAATGTCATATTTTGACATTGTATCCAAGCTTTCATTAAATTCAATCCATTTCCAAAATATGTTCTAAAGTGAACATGTAACTTGGTAAAACAGCTGTGATTTGGGTGAAAATTGTCTATAAATTATTCATAAATCTCTTCGAAAGTGAAAAGTATTTGCAGTACTGAAAGAAATACTGTGCTTGAGTAATTTCAGAATTAAGCTAAATAAAACTGCAGCACAATTAATTACTGAGAGAAATTCACAGTTCTGTGTGAATGAGCCTTAGCA